ATAATCACAGCTCTATGGAGCAGCATCAGACTCATTCTGACTAGAATTGAGTAGGACTACGTCAGGCTACAACGTTGCAACATTACAGACAAATCTAGGAGTACAAATAACTAATTTATGAGGAGGATTTTCAAATTTACTAGCAGGAAACACATTTGAGAGTAGAAATAAAAAAATGTACTCGTAAAAATCATACATCATACATTTACGAGATGCATCACAAATTTATAAATAGGACTTTTTTCAATAGATGGAATCTTACAGAGTATAAATGATCTTTACTGATTTGTAATTGTATTTTTGCAAAGTTGTAACTTCTTAACTTGTATTCCGACAGATGATCTGATGTCTCATGTATACATGAGTCAATAACAAGAAAAAAATACAAATCTTAAACTTATTTACGTTTTTGACTATACTTTACAAATTGATCTGCACATGTTTTTTTGGTTGTTATCTTACTCCATACGCCAAGCTCTGTTTGGACTGGATCAACTCGTGTCATCTCAGGTCACTTTCCAGTTCAACCAGATCATCCAGTCAGATTGATTCAAAGTTTTCTATCTAAGGAAAACCAGCTGATTGCATCGACTCATTGACTCGATTGCGCAAAGTAACAAATTACAAATACTTTGTTACCTTCGTTAAGTAGAATATTTGGCTATCTATACTTTACTGGAGTAATCATCTTTTTAGACAACGTTTTACATCTACTCCTTTATTTTTTTCCCCCTATAATTATCTCTATTTTCTACTCCTTACATTTTAAAATTAGACTATTTTTGTTCATTTTAAGCTAATTTCTGTTATGGTGTGTTAGTATTTTAAACAAATAGAGACAATTAATTTCTATTTGGTTGGGCTGCACCAACTTGTTGTTCTCCACATACAAAAATAAATAATATTACCAAGATGATGCAAAGTTATAAAACTAAGAAAATAAAGTGTAAGGAAGTTATCATCCAGAATTGCAGAAAAATGTTCCTTTAATAGGGGAGTGCAATAATCAGTATGAGGTTTAAGCTTTTCCTGCATTACTTTTATACTTTAAGTAGTTTTAAATTTGGTACTTTAATAAACTTCAGCTCTTGTTCTGGTTCACNCGTTTCTTAAGTATATTAACTTTACTTAACATAGTTGATGGACAAATACTTCATTATCTGACATCTCTGGTAAACAGTTGGCACTTTCACTGCTGCTGGCTCAACACAAGGGGGCAGTATAGGCTCAGACTAACAGCATTTTAATAAACTGCTTTAATGACAAACTAACACCTTAAAGTTCTATTAGTTTTATTTATTTATTGTCATAGAAATGAATTATTCTAGTTATTCTAGCAATCAGTTAATTTATGAATTATTTGTTTGATTGATCTTAAAAAAGAACTTCCAGCAAATTAATATTTCTATTGATTTATCAACTTTATTGATCTCCCAATAGATACATTTACTCGTTTCATCAGATCAAATAGTCAAGAGAAGAAGAAGGTGCCAAAAGAAGAAAAAAGTTAATGGGTTATATATACAGTTTAAACAGTGCGTCCTCATATTACAGTGGTAAATATTTATAATTCAGAAAAAAATACCTTTATTGCTCTTTTTTAAATGAGTTGCACATAGAAAACCTTTCTAATTT